CCCCAGTGACTGAGCCCGCTGCCGAATCCTCGCCGGCAGCTGCAGGAAAGCTTTGTTCGCCCGCCATCGCCTCTGCCCGCACCCACGCGCCGGGCCGCGGCGATGCGCCAGCAGTCAAGTTTGGGCTCAGGGACTGCCAGGCTGCCAAAGGAGCGGGGAGTTGTTCAGAGACAGCGGGCAAGCGCTGGGACGTGCCCGGTGCGGGGAGGGTGCCGGGTAGGGACACTTGTTGTTTTCTTGAAGCCTAGCAAAAAAATCAGACCTGAGCTGGGAGGGTTCGTCACCCTTCTGCTCTGGGCTGGGGCCAAAGCAGAACAGGCCAAAGCAGAACAGGCCGGATCACAGGGAAGTTCTCCTAGAAACGCGGTGGTTTGCTGGCTATGGGGAAGCAGCTGATCTGGTGGCTACCAAAGCAACCCTGGTATCCCAGGTCCTCCTGGCACGTTTTTGGTCGGTGCCAACGAGGCAGCTGTGAGCAGCTCCTGCTCCTCCAGGCTGGCAGTGGTGTCACCGCTCACATCCTGGTCTCCAGGTCCTGCTGCATGCAGCCCACGGTCCGTGCAGGACACAGAGTTTCACACTCCTACGGTCGCTTCTCTTCTAGGGGTTTTGAGCAGCTGGGCACCACCTGCAAGAGGACAAGATGTTCAGGGGAAAAATGACCAGTGTTGGGAAGAAGCTGATCCGCCGGCGGGTGGTGGATCTGAGCTCTGAGGAGACACGTTTTGCCCGCTGCCTCTCCACGCTGGACCTCATTGCTCTGGGGGTGGGCAGCACGCTGGGGGCCGGTGTCTACGTGCTGGCAGGGGAGGTGGCCAAGGAGATGGCTGGCCCCTCCATCGTCCTCTGCTTCCTGGTGGCTGCTCTCTCCTCGATGCTGGCCGGGCTCTGCTACGCTGAGTTTGGGGCCCGTGTCCCCAAGACGGGCTCTGCCTACCTCTACAGCTATGTCACCGTGGGCGAGATCTGGGCTTTCACCACCGGCTGGAACCTCATCCTCTCCTACGTGATAGGTACGGGCCCTGCTGGAGCTGGAGGGGGCTGGTGGGGTGGCCCAGGAGCAGACAGGTACAGCTGGGCAGGGTGGCAGTGGCACATGCCCCGTGGCATCCTGGCGAGTGGCACAGTGGTGGCAAGGGACATGCACGGAGCCTCGCCGGGGGACAGCGCTTGGTGCTGCGAGGGCTCAGCGTGGGGTGGGTGCCCTTGGGACCGGCCGGCAGGCTGGTGATGGGGCGGGGGGCGAACGCGCGGGACGGCATCTCGCCAGGGCTCCGGGCTGACGTGCAACTTTGCCGTCCGCCAGGCACGGCCAGCGTGGCCCGCGCGGGGAGCGGCGCCTTCG